AGTGAATTCCCCTTTATACTTCTCATAAAAAGACTTTTTTAAGATAGATACCTCGGCTCCACTATCTATGAGGACATTACAAATTACATTTCCAACCTTACTTACTATTTGAGAAGATTGAAAACGGATTTCTCTTGGTGGTTGGTTTTCTTCTAAAAATATATTATCTTCAAATAAGTTATTTGAAAACTAATCTGCACTGGTAAAAAGATCACTTTCACTTCATGGTCGGATATTACTTGGACCTTGTTTCGATAATGTTACATCATTTGGATGAATGAGGGGTTCTCCATAGCTAGGTCCAGCCACATGAGGCTGACTGGGTATGTTTCCACTGTTGTCTTTTGTTGTATTTCTCACAGCATATTGATTGCCATCATTGAGCCTATAATTTGGTTTGTTTTGAAATCGGGGATTCCACCCTCCTGAATGATTTCCATGAATCATTTTATTTTCCCTTGATTATTAATATAAAGGCTTTCGAGAATTGTTGCTGCCTTTATAGTGTTTATAATGTAGTGTTGCCTTTATAATGTTACAAATAGTGTTTTCATCAAATACATTAGCGGTGAACATTCTTGTAAAAAAATATGTTAAATATTTAGTAGGACTCATTTTTCTATAATATAAATAATCCTCATTTAATATACCTACCAAATATGCCTTATATGTTTTTCTCCCAAAATTGAAAATGAATTCCAAATCAAAGTCTTCTAAATTATTAAAATTCTTTTCTTTGATGAGGTACCAGCAGTATGCTGATCCTGAAAGGTACTGTTTAATCAAATTATTAATCTCCTTCCATTTTATATATAGCTTAGTTATTAGTTTTAATTTTAATTGAAATTCATATGGATCATCCTGTAGATTATCCCTAAAGTTCACCTTTTTGGTAGTTACTGAATTAATTACTGATTCCATAACTCCTCCACAAACTACTTGATTTTGTCTATTCTCTCAATGTAACATCTCTTTTATATTTTACTAATAATAATAATACCTCAGAAGATCACTTTATACTTTTGGAATATTTCCTAAATAAATAAGAGTTTGTTATAATAATAAACAAAATTTTAAGAGAATTAATATATTTATTTATCTCAGGTGTGGGTTACTGACAATCAGATCAACTCAGACAAACTATTATTATTTACACTATTTATACTAAAATTAAACACTAATTTTAAAATAAAGTCAAGTATGAATTAGCAAGCTAACACTTTCTATATGCACTGTTTCTTCCTTTGTTGCACTAAATTCATTTGTCTTCAAACACTTTCCAAAGTTCTTCCAAACATAATTTCCAAAATGGTGATACTATCTTCTACCCAACTCAAGCTTCCTGGAATATCCTCTCTTTTGTGATTCTAAACAACTAGTCTCTCTGCCAAACAACTTCTAAGAAGGTAAATCTATTACTGGGTTTTTAATTGTTCAACATTAATTTATTAAACCCTTTTTACTCTCTTCCAATAAAGATGTAAATTACAATACTTTAGCACTATAAAACAAGGAATACTGTTCAGGTGCATTTCTGTACATTGTACAGGCATTTGACCGGGTATGGCACTCCGGACTGCTCTTCAAGCTTAAAATCCATTTACCTCAGTCCTTGTACCTAGTCCTCCGATCCTACCTCTCTGACCGCTCCTTTCGAGTTCGCTGTGGAACAGAATTTTCCAATATCTACTCCGTTAAAGCCGGTGTTCCCCAAGGCAGCGTCTTGGGTCCTGTGCTTTACATCCTCTTTACTGCTGACATCCCTGTTCATCCTGATACTTTCTTTGCAACATTCGCTGACGACACCGCAATCTTATCATCCAACTCTGGTCCTAAAATAGCATCCTTAAATCTCCAAAGCCACCTCACCTTGATTGAGCACTGGTGTAATAACTGGCGCATTAAAGTTAATGAATCTAAATGCCAACATATTACCTTTACACTCCGACGCAATTCCTGTCCACCAGTACTCTTTAATTCCATCCAGCTTCCGTACTCAGACACAGTCCGGTATCTTAGCTTTCATTTAGACCGAAGACTAACGTGGAACCCGCATACTAGACTCAAAAGACAAGAACTCAACCGACGATACGGCCAACTATACCGACTACTAAGCAGAAAATCTAAACTTTCCATTGAAAACAAGCTACTGATCTACAAGACAATACTGAAACCTATTTGAACTTACGGACTAGAACTGTGGGAATCAGCAAAATTTTCTAACATCAACCGCATCCAATCCTTCCAGTCAAAAGTCCTTCGAACAATAGTCGATGCTCCTTTCTATGCAACCAACAAAACCCTACATCATGATCTCAACATCCCATTTGTCCTAGACCTTTTCCCAGAAAAATTCTCCAAATTTCACCAGAACCTTACGTACCACCCAAATCCTCTTGCACAATCCCTATCAAGCACCTCCCATCCCTATAATCCTCCAAGAAGGTTGAAACGGCAGTGGCCTCGCGACCTTTTGTAGATTTTATAAATTGGAGTTCTGGCAATGGCCAGATTCTTCACTCAAGACATACGTGCTCTCGACCAATCTCAGCTGGCTTTAGTACCAGTGACTCGGTTGGGAGAGTAGCGCAGGGTTCTCCTGGAGTTCCCTCACCTGATTGTATATAGGTATGCATCTGTTTTTTTTTTTTTCTTAGTTTTAATTTTCTTATTTTTTAGGTTATTTAATTTTATTATCTACTGTATATACTTTTGATTATTATTTTGTTCTATTTATTTTATTTTATTGTACATATAGTGTGAATGTCATCCTACCTCACTATAACCAATGTCCAAGAGACAGATTGTTATAATACTCAATAAAGAAAGAAAGAAAAAAAGCACTATAATTTTACAGATGCAACTTTGAAAGTATGAAGTAATCTTCATTTAACGTTTTTTTGTTTTCTTATAAAAGAATCTTTGGAAAAAAAACCAAGGTGTGTGTTTTAGACCACATGATAGAAGTGAAAACATCAACAAGGCGTGATTAATAATATGAAATATAAATTATAAATAATAGCACATTCTAAAGAAGGCGAAATGCTGAACACTTTATTCGCTTACAGTATGGATGTTCGATTTTTAGTTTCTGAGATATTTTAATCCATGTCTCCAATAAACTCTTTACACTTTGGTTTTCGACACTATTTTTTCCCTTTTCGCTTCTCTAACACGGTGTCTCCTTAAGACACTATTTTGAATAATAGTTCATTACAAAGAAGATAAAGTGATGAATATTTTCCTTGTTAACAATATGCAGGACTGATTTTTTGTTTTTGAGATATTTTAATCCATATGCAAAAACACTTAGTCGACTCTAGCTGACTTTACCCAAGCATTACAAATCAGAGATCTGATGCATTATGCAAAAAAAAGTGCAAAACACGCCTCAAGAAGTTTTTACTTCAAAAAACCAGTTATGATCATTAAAATTTTAATCCTTAATATAATAATTGTCACCCACAACCAACACTAGTTAACATTATTTTATTGTAGATTTGCAGTAATATTAAAAAATATGAAAAACCTACTATTTTTTTAGTATTAAAAACAAGATAAAACTGAAAATCTATGATATTTATTAAATGATTATGGTCAGTTGAAAATATATTTTAATTAAAATGATCAGATTCAAAAGAAGATGTATTGCACAGCTCTATTTAGAAGAAATATTTTATACACTCAGGGAAAAGGATGGGAGTAGGATTGGAAAGGAAGTGAATCAGAAAAACTTCTGAGAAATGCTTCCATATTGGCCATTACAAAAAAGTCGAACATTTGCTTATTGTTCTGAAAATAGTATGTACCTGTCCATAATAGCTATCTGTCAAGGAAGACAAAAAGATCAAATCGAATGTTTAGTAGTTCACTATAAATTGTCTTCTTCTTCTTTGTCTTCCTCCTTAGTGCCTTTCAGCGTGGAGGGGTCTCGACCCATTTACGCCAGTCATTACAGTCTCTCGCCAGGTCTCTCATACAACCCAACTGCTTGCCTCTTCTCTGTCCGTGCTTGGTCATTTCGTCAATCCAAGTTTTCCATGGACATCCTCTTGGCCTCTTTTCTGTGGGTCTTGCATCAGGTAATTTTCTGGGTTCCCTGTCCTCGTCCCTTCCTCATAACATGACCGAACCATTTAAATGTTTTGTTTTCCACGGTTTTTAGCATTGGTGGCATCTTAAAATTTTCTCTAATCTGTTCATTTCGGATGCAATCTCTTCTATTTCGTCCAGCTACTTTTCTTAGATATTTCACTTTTGGCAGCGGTAAGTCTATTTTTATGCCTACCTAGAATGACCCAGCTCTCACTACCATACAGTAGGGATGGAAGGTTGAGTTTGTTGTATATATTGGTCTTAGTTATATTTTCCACCTCTCGTTTTCCTTAGATCATGTTGCAGATCTGGTAATAGATGCCATTTGCATTTTTGATCTTGTTTGATGTCTCTTGGTCTATTTTTCCATTTCTATCAACAACTGTCCCTAGGTATGTATATTCCTCTACCAACTCCAGATTCTTACCCTACAGTTTATTTGTATGTCTTCGATTTCTCGACCTATCTTTTCCAATAGCATAATCTTACTTTTTATAAATTGTCATTTCCCTCAATTCTTTTACATAAAATTGAATCCACTTCCTTCAAGTTTTATCTAAGGGAATTGGGAGAAATACCCCTAATTCGTAGTGAAGTAATCATTCAATTGACTCTCCTGTTAAACTGGTATTATTGACATTTGACCACCTTGACATAAATAAATAAATATGAATGAAGATAAAAATCTAGAAATAAATTATAGGAATATTCTCAGACCGATATGGATTAGAAGTGAGTATCTTCTTGTGAACTTGGATATCCTCCATTACTTCTAAATGTTTAAACTAAACTTTTTCATTTTATTATATTTAAATGTGAAATTCTGATGTTTTTTAATTACAAATAAACTATACAGATAAGATTATTTTTCTATGGGCTGTTAATCTGAATAATTTTACTTTTAGTGTTTGGAAGTAGTTGTAAAGACTTGTCAATGTGGATTACGCCAAAAAGAGGTTTCTTGTCATCAGAAGGCATACCTTTGTGATGCAAAATGCAAGAAAATGAGAGACTGCAATATACATCCTTGCAACCGTAAGGTGTGTTACTATAATGCTATGCTGTAGTTTGAAATGATTATAACAATTTTTGTTTAATTCTGATTATTTATTTACTGTAGTGTTGTGATGGTAATTGTCCTTCTTGTGAACGGCCTTGTGGTAAAACTTTATCTTGTGGTAACCATAAGTGTTCTTCTGTCTGTCACCGTGGCCCTTGTTACCCCTGCAATGTAGTGAAAGAGGTGTCATGCAAGTGTGGAAGCACCCTTGTAACGGTTCCTTGTGGCGCTGCCAGACGAACCAATCCTCCTAGGTGCAATAAACCATGCAAGTTTGTATTTAAATTAATACCTTTATTTCTTTATCTTCTCAACTGTATTTAGAAGAATTTAAGTATTAATTTACAGCTTTTAATTAATTATATTTTGTTTCTTTTACTCATTAAAAGTAGCCATTGATTATAATACTATAATCAATCTATTGAATATTTGGTTGTTTGAAAAGCCTGCCATGAGACAGTGTGAGATGGTACACAATAGTATTTATAGATATTATACAATATTGGGGGGCCCAGTACATGCCATACGTTGGCTTCCAGAGTCCAGTAAAAAACGCGACGAGGCATCACCCTTCGATCCGGACATCACTGCTTGTGCCGTGCCTATTAGTGCCTCAGAAGAGGAGTCAGACGAAACAGAGGCGCCGCGAGCGTGACCGACGAAATTGCCCGCCTCCACGGAAGTTTCCTTAGTGTTCAAATCGGAACTATTTTTCTTATGCAGCACACTATGGTGCTTTTCGCCACAAAATGTGCACGTAAATGCGGAAAAGCATTCCGAACTTCGATGGCCGGATCTGAGACAGTTATAACAGAGTCTGTTTGATTGTACGAATTCGTAGCGTTCCTCGATTGACAGAGCAAAAAATCGGAAACATCGCGCCAGATGATGCTCCCCTTGCAGTGAGGACAGGGATCCTTATTGGGCGAGACGGATTTACTCCGAGGAACTTCCTCTGGTGATCGTTGGCGTCGGTACCCACTCCTCAGATCCCTTTCCGAAGCCGTCCGGTTAGGCGATGTCGAATATTTAAACGTGGCGGGACGAACATCCGCCTTGCCGGTAAGCAAAGTTACTCCGGTTATTCTCTTATTCGTGGCCTGGACGCGCGGTGCGTCGGAAGGACCGTTTCAAATTCGCGGGTCATCTTGGAGGACATCATGCGATGTCTCACAAAAGCGATGACTTCATCCGCGTAGGGAACTCGCTGCTGGCGTGAGAGAGCTCAAATTGACGTCTGGTGGCAGGGTCCAATGCGCATATAGCCAAGGTGGACATGATAACTCCCCCTTCGTTTGTTTGTTTATTTAGGCTTTAAGGCGTAAAAACGCAAGGTCATCAACGTCTGTGAGTCTGTTATGTTTGTAAACTCTTTAGAGGAAAAACAGAAAAAAAAAATTAACAATCAAAAATTAATAATAGATAGATATAGTGGTATATGAAAAAGATATTTAAAAACATATAAAAAATGAAATATATTAAAATAAATACAATAAAAGAACAATAAAATGCAAATTAATCTATTTTTATATTTTATTTAATAGTCTATGGATTTTAAGAAATTTTATCACGGTTCCTATGTTTGATTCATTGTTGTTTAATACTGCTGATATATCCGGTTTTAGAGATAATCGATTTAGGCTTGAAGTATAATAAGTACATTCTTAGAAAATATGGTTGACTGTGAGAAGGCTATTGCAATGCTGACAATTTGGTGGTAGCTGATTTGTGATGAGATGTACATGAGTTAGGTTCATGTGTCCTATTCTTAACCTGGTCACGGCGACTTCCTCTCTACGATTAGGGCGGTTTGATGTGATCCAGGGCTTAACTGATTTTTTAACAACTTTTAATTTGCTAAGCGGGCTTTCGTTCCACATAGACTGCCAACTATCCAATATTTCTTTTTTGAGAGGAAAACTCATTTCTGGAGGGGTCAGAGGTTTGGCTGCCGTATCTGCAAGCTCATTACCAACAATACCCACGTGACTGGGAACCCATTTAAAACAAACCGATTTACCTAAATTTTCCAGAGTGTAAAGATATTTGTGTATTTTATGGATAACTGGATGTTTTGAGTACATATCATTTAAACCCTTTAATGAACTCAAGGAGTCGGTTATCAAGACTATCGAAGCTGGAGTTATTGACGTACAGAAGTGGAGGGCTGAAGATATTGCGTGAAGTTCCGCTGTGTATATGCTGTTTAGTCTGTAATTTTATTTTATGCATGGAGTTATGGGTAACAAACGAACAAGCCGTAGCATCATCGGATTTCGAACCATCAGTATAAATTAAAAATGGATCCGGAATATTTTGTAGTAGCCGGGAAAATTCGGTTTTGTACTCGTAATGTGGGGTATTGGTTTTGAGTAATCGAGAGAGACGGAGCATCATTTTGGGGGTTTGTTGATCCAAGGTGGATTTTGGTTTTCTATATTGAATAAAGGTAAATTCTTAAGGGATTCAACTGCTGAATAAATTCTTTCTGACAATGGGAGTGTGGAATTTGTTTTGTTTCTAAAAGCGTTTGAAAATTTAGGTTTAAAAATGTAGTTGTGAGTGGGATGTTTATTTTGGGGAAGTAGCCTTGAAATGTAGTTAACGGCCAGTTTTTTCCTTCTAAATGAAAGAGGGGGTATTCCGGCCTCAGAGCAGAGACTAAGGATGGGACTTGTTCGAAATGCGCCAGTTGCTATCCTAATGCCTGTATGGTGGACTGTATCGAGTTTGTTTAGGATCCGATAGCGGGCAGAACCATATATAAAGCACCCATGTCTAATTTCGAACATACCAGAGCTTGATACAGTTTTATTAACATAAGTCTGTCTGAGCCCCAGGAAGTGACGCTTAGATATCGCAAGATAGTTATTCTTTTTGTAGTGGCTTTCTTTGGGGCAGAAATGTGTGGTTCCCTAGTTAGTCTTCGTTCAAAGATCATGCCCAAGAATCTATGTTGGTTCGAGTACGGGATTATGGAATTTCCGAGGTAGATTTCGGGTGAGTTAGGGGTGTTTCTCTTTTGACTGAAATGCATGCACTTAGTTTTTGCGGAAGAAAATTGAAGACCAATGGAAAGAGACCAGTTTTTGATTCTATTAACAGCGTCCTGTAGTTTGTTTCGTATAGTGTCAATGTTGCCAGATCGGCAGAGAATGGCTAGATCATCCGCAAATAGAAGCGGTTTAACACCTCTTGCCAAGTTAAGGCCCAAGTCATTTATCGCCAGGCAGAACAGAGTTGGGCTGAGGACACAACCTTGAGAGACACCGTTGAACTGATGGTGGTTCTCGGATAATTCTCCTCCTACCTGAACTCTAAAGCTTCGGTGCGTTAGAAATTGTTTAACATAATTTTACATTTGGTCTCTAATTCCTACGGATGATAATTTATTGAGGATAATGGAGTGATTTATATTATCAAAAGCTTTTTTCATATTGAAAAATATGGCTATTGTCTTTTGTGCATTGATAAAAGTATATTGCGTTTCGGCTTCTAATGCAACCAAATGATCCAACGTGCATCGACCCTTACGGAATCCCGATTGAAAAGGTTGAATTAAATTGTTGTTCTCTATTATCCACATTAATCTTTCATTAATCTTCCACTCCATTAATTTATTTAAGCAGCTTGTGAGAAATATAGGGCGATAGCTGCTTGGTAAACGTTTATCATTTTCGCTTTTCAGGATTGGAATGACCACTGAATCATGCCATTTATTCGGGAACTGTCCAGTGGACCAGACATGATTATAATATCCAAGCAACTACTCCAGTGTATTACCTGGGAGGTTCTTTATCATGTCATAGTGGACCAGGTCAGGCCAGGGGTTGAGCCTTTAACAGTTCTTATTATGTTTTTGAGTTCCCACATTGAAAATGGGAGGTTGTAACATGATAATTCAGATTATGTTCAGACCTCCTTCAGACATCCCTAACATAGAATATCTGTTTGCCCAGGTTTCCTTTAGTACCTTTCCTCTACTCTTTATCGTTATTTACCGACCTCCTCGTGTCCGATTCGATCCCACTCTCGAATCCTCCCTCCTTACATATATTCCTCTCTACGAAAATATTATCATCGCTGGTGATCTCAACACCAACCTCCTTTCAAACATTCCGGACAGAACATATCTTACCGACCTAGTTTTTTCCTTAGATCTATTTATTGTACCCTTTCTATCCACCCATCACACCCAATCCACTGATACTTGGCTAGATTTATTTATTATTGATTCCCCACATAACCTATTATCCTCTACATACAACTTCTCTACTCCTTCACCTAAACCCAAACAAATTTCCTGGAGAGATCTAGATTCCTTAACCACTGAAAACATCAGCCCCTTCCTCCACTTGCTTAGAACCCATCTATTCTCTCCCCTCCATAGATGATATGGTTGAATGCCTTTCCTCCAACCTCCTCGATTTTCTCAATTGTCACGCACCTTTAAAAACACGTGTCTTTAGACGTCCTCCCGCTCCTTGGATCAATACAGAAATAAGAGAACTAATGAGGAGAAGAGAAACTGCTAGAAGACGATACAGACGTACTAGACTAACTGAGCATTATTCCACATTTAAATCCCTACAAAATCTCACACAAATGACCCTACGTCGTGCCAAAGCCCAATACTTCAATAATGTTTTATCCCAAGAACCTAACCCTAAATTCAAATGGAAAATCCTTAAGAACTTCTCTGTTGTTACCTCGAAAACCTGCACACAGTATCCAATCGATCCCAACACAATTCTTTTTTCACTAACCATTTTCTATCCACATCTCCATCAGTCCGCTCATCTTTTTCCATTACCGAAACCCCCTTTGATCCTGATAAGTTTTACTTTCTCGACATCTCTCCTACTGACCTGCTCTCTGCCACCCTTAAATCCAAAGCGAATGATTATGGTCCGGACCAAATACCTGTTAAAGTTATCAAACTCTGCCTTCCAGCTTTACTACCCTCACTTCTACACATATATAATTTCTCTCTCCAAAATTCCATTTTTCTCAAATCCTGGAAAAGAGCCATAGTCCGTCCACTGAACAAAGTTCCAACTCCTTCATCAGCTTCCGACTTCAGACTCATTTCCAATCTATCCAAGCCTCTAGAAAGATTAGTTCACTCTCAGTTGAACAGCTTTCTCGAGCAAAACAATCCCTTACAATCTGGTTTCCGATCCCAGTATTCCACCCAGTCTGCCTTGCTAAGGATTATCCAAGACCTCCAATCCGCCATAGATAAACAGAAAATCTCCATCCTAATTCTTTT